CCCCCCCCCCCCCCCCCCCTCTCTCTCTCTCTCAATTGCCGTCTTTCACTCTCGTCGGTCTGCTCTGCGGAGGAAGCAGCGATTTCAGCCACCCATCGGCACAAAGCGCGACAGCGGCTTCATCATTATTTCCCGGCTTCAGCATCCAGCGACCCAGCAGGTATTTATTTTCACATTATTCCATTTCTGAATGCTTATTATGTAATCTTAAATTATTTTCAGCACCCAACGGTTTCAGATTGTGTATTGAAACAGATTATGTAATTTTTCAAATAGATTATGTAATGTTTCCAGATTATCGTATTCAAATAGATTCTGTAAATTTTCACATTATTTGCTTCTAATTTATTCAAACAGATATTTCAGATTTTGAAATAGAATTTACTTCTATGAAAATATCATTTTAGATTTGCTTCAAACAGATGATTTTAAGATTTTCTAGATTTTGTAATAAGTAATTCCTTTAAAAATCATTCTAATATCATTTTTTCCTTTAATATAAAACATCAGTATGCAATCTGAAAAAATCAGTATGCATTTTAACAGTTACTTTCTACAATGGTTTTAACTTTACACCATATCTTGGCTTGATATTTCTATGCACCATGTGGTTTTTGGCATCCGCTAAATTACGACTCATGGCTATGTGCAGCGATAGGTGTCTCAATTTAGGGTGTATCCGATATGTTTACAACATTGTATGTACTCATCTAAAGTTTTTTGTACTGTACATATACTGAAGAAGATATCATGTAGAAGATGCTAGCTAAGAATGTAAGAGCTTTTCATGGAATTCAATGATGTTCTATGTAAACATTCATGATGTGATGTTTACTTGTTGGGTTAAGAATTTAGTTTTTTTGTATACATTTGTTTTTTCTTATGTGGATCTAATGTTTTTCTATTGTGGATTTAGCCGTGGATTCGGAAATTTAGAAGATGGGTGTGTTGTCAACATTGTTGAAAATTGAGTTAAAAGTGATCAAATTGAAGATGTTGATGTTTATAATTACTGAAAATACTAAAATAGGTTCACCTTTTAATATGGATAATACCAAAAAATCTGCTTTAGGTGACAAATATGATCCAATAACTTGTATAAGCGGAAATAAGTTTTTCAAAGTTCAAGTTATTGAAGAATTACTTGTGTTCAACTATGTCGCAAGAAAGACTGAATGGATTGGCCTTGATATCGAGTGAATGTTAGAGATTGGAAGAAGTAGAAATGGATAGCTTGATTGACGATTTCACATCAAAATGTATAAAGATGTCTCTTTTTATGTATTCTTGTATTAATGTTTCCTACATCATTTTAAGAAGTCTAATATTTCGTTTCCAAATTTTTTAAATTTTGGACTAATTATACAATGGTCTATTTTGTTTGCACAGGGCTTCTTTATGTTACGGATCGGCCTTGTGAGTAGGTTTTGTTAGATATTCCTCCTTTGTTCTTTAGTTCTTCTAACCTCCCTCCGTCTTCAATAAAAAAAATTGGATTCGAAACTAAACGGGTTGGATAAAATACATTTGAATCAACAAAATTGATGATATTAAATTATTGATTGCGTTGCTATGATCAGTCATCAAAATGGATGAATAAACCTGATGGGTTTTAGAACCCGGGACTAGGGCTGTTCATCGGTCTAGGACTAGACCGAACTGGATCGAAGACCGATTTGTAAAAAATAAAGACTGAAGACTGGACCTATAAGCATTCGGTTTTAGACCGAACCGGACCGAAATGAATAGGACCAAACCGATAAGACCTAAAACGATCATACAATTTTGATCTATTGTCGAGGAACTCTCTAACACTTTGTATTATGATCTGGCAGCCCTTCTGCTCCCGATCATACAACTCCTGATCACAGCTCCCTTTGATCGTTGGGTCCTTATTGGGTTTTCTCTCTGATACCAAATGTTAGAACAATGATAGGAAGAACAGATCAAATGGAGAATCCAGAATAGAACTGTGATTTTTTTTATTGTGAATTACATACAGGAATTCTATGTTCTTGGAATATTTATAGACAACAACCAACACAATTATTGGTACTAACCAACACATCTATTACTAACTAACACAACTTCCAGAAATAACTACCTATAACTTCCAGAAATAACTACCCATAACTCTCCCTTTTATTTTTAATATTTAAATCTAAACTAACAAACTTTTGACCAGGAATTAAACAATACGATTAAATCTAACAAAAAAAAATTCAATAAGCTTGAAATTAGAGAGACAGTAACCAAATTTATCAAAAATACTACTAGAGTAGTCGATAAAATTAAAATGAAAAGTGAAAATTATTGAATTTCAGAGAGGAGTAGACAAGTGAGTGGTTGTTTTAGATCGGGATTCCTTCCATCACCAAAGGTATGTCGAGCTTCGTTTCTTTGATTTCTTTTCTTTTCTTTCTCTATTTGCGTGATAGAGCACTAGGGAGAGCCACACCCCAAACGCTAGCTATTATGGTGGGAAAACCTCAGGCTATATAAACCCATCACCAAGTCTCCAGTTTGACTGGTGTGGGACAATGAAATCAGCCCATTCGACCCCTTAAAGGCCATCGTTCTCATTGGTCACGGCTACATTGGTCACCAGACCACCACTCCGAGTCACTGATACAACACTAGGAAGCGCCACACTCCAAAAACTAGCTATTGAGGTGGGAGAACCTCAGGCTATCTAAACCCATCACCAATTCTCCCATTTGACCGGTGTGGGACAATGAAATCAGCTCGTTGCATTGCGCTATTTAAGTAGAAGCCGAGCCAGTTAGGTTTTTTATACGAGGTTTGGTTTTTGTTAATGAAATTTATATACTGTTTTGGAATCAATTTTGATATGAGGTTTTGGGTTTTATAAGTGTGTTAAATGATTCAAAAGAGACAAGTTCGTGGTTTCATGTCTTTGGATGAATAGATGGAAATATATTTCCAGCTTCATCTCCTGTTTTTTTTTCATGACTCCAAATTAGAGGCCATTTTTATATGTGATGCTATGGGTATTGAACTTGAGGGCTATATAACATGTTTTGATAAATAAATCAATGTCCAAACCTAAAGTTCTAGATTGAACTTTTAATTCTTGATTTGATTAGTTTTTGATACCAACTTTGTCGTGTTATTTAATGTTTATAGAAACCAACTCAAATGAATATTGAACATGGAAGTCAAGGGAGTCAAAATGAAGATAGAATGAAAATCAAGGAGCTAGATAGGGATCTTTTCTCTCGAAAGAATCACTTCACTTTAAATGTAATCTTTGTACTCTATATGTTGATGGGGAAGAAGAGGGAATCAGAGTTCCAAAAAAAACGACTTTGTTTGGGCTTAGAAGCGAACTAAAAAATGAGATTGGATGATATATGGTGTCTGTGGAAAGTATTTAAATCCAAAGCTAAGATTGGTGGAAATTGAAAGCTAAGATTTGGTTTTGGAACTTTTTTTTTGAGATCAAATTACTTACACCGATAGTGCCTAGTGTTTTGTGTGTTGTAGGAAAATCCCAAATTGGAACAATTCCAAGAAAAAGGGTTGAGCCTAAGCTTAAAATTTGTTTCGACCTAATATTTGGATGTTGTGCCGATGAGAAACTTAAATATAGTCCACTATTAGAGAGTGATAACAACTATCTGAGTAACGAATCATGGAAAAATCTGTGGAGAGAGCATAGTGCAACCCCTACATCTACAACTACCTTTCCTCATCAGAACACTTGTATCGAACATGACAACATAAGACAAGGTAAAGAAGCTATAGAAGGTGGCTCCTCTTAATATAATAAGAATGCAATAACTAATTACAGTTAGATGGAGAGCTGCAAGAACTAATATAACGAGTTCAAATAAATCAGAATTAATGTACTTTTTAGTGTATTTTACTTTTAAAAAGTTCTTTACTGTTAAAATTTATGTGAATGAATTGTTTTCTATTTGTAGGTGACTGAAATCAGTTGATTTATGAATGAAAAATGAAGCTTTTTGATGCACATTGCCATATCCAAGATCCAAGGATCCTAAACATGGTCCCGAATATCATTAGGAGCGCCGTGGACAGAGGAGTGGTCCATTTTGCAGTGAATGGTGTGTCGGAGAATGATTGGCAGACGGTAAAAGAGATCAGCAAAAACTATCCAAGCGTGGTTCCCAATTTCGGGCTCCACCCTTGGTTCATTTCTGACAGGAGTCCCAATTGGCTAAAGACACTAAAGGAATACTTTGAGGCAACACCAGAAGCTGCAGTTGGTGAGATTGGTTTGGACAAAGGATCAGTTGGAAAGAAGATCGATTTTCGTGATCAGGTTGAAGTCTTTAGGCAGCAACTTTGCATTGCCAAAGAATTGAAAAGACCCGTTTCTACCCATTGTGTCCGTGCTTATGGGGATCTTCTGGAGATACTCAAATCTGAGGGCCCCTTCCCTAATGGCATCATTCTTCATTCTTTTCTTGGGTCTGCAGAAATGGTTCCTGAATTTGCTAAGTTAGGTGCTTACTTCTCGTTCTCGGGGTTTCTGATGTCTCTAAAAGAAAGCAAGGCAAAGAAAATGGTGAGATCAGTTCCACTGGAAAGGATATTGTTGGAGACCGACGCACCCGACGGGTTTCCCAAACTATGCAACAGTCTAGAAGATACTTTGGTTTTGACAGAAGAGGGGAGTGAAGAGAGGCTAAACCACCCTGCTAATATTAAAGCTGTACTTGACTATGTGGCATCTTTACTTGAAATGAGCATCGAGAAACTCGCAGATGTAAGCTTTTCAAATGCATTGAATCTGTTCTCATTTGATGGTTCTAAACTTGGCCGCTGCTGCAGTGAGGTTGTAAGTGGCAGTAAGAGAGATGAGGCTTGAGCATTTTCCATTTTTTGTTGGTGTGTTTTTAGCTTAAATATGACAACAACTATAACTCAAAACATGACAACAACTCGTCCAACACATCTCTTGCGTGAAGAAGTCAATCCACAAAAACAAGCATAGAAGTATAAGAGGCTCCCGTGTGACAATAAGCTAAGGGTAGTCTGCGGCTTATTATTCCCACAATGTCTTCACTCAGCTTCTTCGTATAGCTGTAATTATTAGTGTTTTTACAAATTGTGGCAATATTTTGCTTCTTCTCACCAACTTTGGCAAGCTTTTTTTTCTCGAAAACTATACATGTTTGCATCTCGTATCGGATACTCTCAACATGCTTTGTTGAGTCCCTATTACCTTATCAACCCGACGAACATTTCCTTTGACACGCTTCCAAAATGCACCTAGGAGCACATCTTCTTCACCAATCACAGCTAATTTGAGGCTAGGCTTTTGAGGCTAACCTTCTCTAATGATGATTTTACAGTGACATCCTGGGGTTGGGGTTAAATGGGGCTAATCGTGGTTGGTGAAGAGGATGTGCTTCTAGGTGAATTTTGGAAGCTTGTCAAAGGAGGAAGTGTTCGACGGGTTGAAAAGGTAACAACGTCTCAACGTAGCATGTTTTATGATGTGTATCTGTATCTCATACAAAGGGAGATAGTTCCCAAGAAAGGAAGGTTAACCAAAGTTGTTAAGATAGTGAAGAAAAATATTGCCACAATGTAAAACAACACTAATAGTTATAGCTTTACGAAGAACTTGAGAGAAGAGATCGTGGGAGTAATAAGCCGCAGACTTCCCTTAATTTATTGTCACACGGTTAGTCTCTTGTACTTCTATGCTTGTTCTGGTGGATGAAGTCTTTCGCATAAGAGAGATGTGTGTTGGACGAGTTGTCGTGTGTTTTGAGTGATAGTATATCATGTTCTAGCTAACAGAAAAAAGAAAAGAAAATGTCCAAACGTGTGGTCATTGGGTTGGGTAATATGGTGCGGCTTTGTAAATGTTGGTATGATTGGCCTGCCATAATGCATGGAACACAGAGGGGCATATCTTCACTTGTAGCATTGCATAGGTTGCTAGCTCCAAGATATACTCCCTTTGACCCAGAAAGAGAGGAAGATTTGATTAAATGGAAAAATAAGTGAGTGATACTTTTGTGTTAACTTTTCAAAAATACTCTTGATGTGACGGGTAAAAGTAGGATCTGATGTGTAGATTATTAAGAAAAAAGTATGATGTGATAGGTAGGGTAAAAAAAAAGTAAGGGATAAAACTAGTTTTTTAATAGAAATTGGAAAGAGATTGTGGTACACTATTTTTTTTGAAACGTGAAAGACTTTTTGGAATGGAGAGAGTATTACATTTGCATTTTTTTCAAGACTTTTAAAAAAACAATTTGGTATTATCCATGTATGTATATACTGGAGTATTATTTCATCTTCTACCGTACATATAAGTGTCAACTACATTTTGTCATACAGTATATATTAGGACATGCACTGCTCCAAATTTAGATTAAATAAAAAAGTTGATGGTTTCTACTCTTCACTCGTTAAAAAATTGATTCAAAGCGTTATTAATAAATCATGATTCTTTACACTATAATTTTGATGTATAAAAAGAGTTGGAAATTAAAAAACAATAGAGGTAAAGACTTGGGGGTTAGAAGAAATTGAAAAAAAATTATAAATTAAAAAATTATTACTCCTTACAAGTTAAGAGTTAACCCCTTAAAGAATAGAGCTGCAAGTTAAGAGTTAACCCCTTAAAGAATAGAGCTGAGTTTTTTAGTTTATTCTAGCATACCCTGTAAATCCTTAGACCTTATAAATTGTACATACTAAGTAGGCTCTCCATTCTAGATTATTTTTCTAGTTTTGATTTTTGACAATCAATTAGTAATTCAAGATCGACTTTTGATCTATAATTAAACAAAATAAAAATAAATGATAAATTAATTTGATAATAGTGTGTGTGTGTGTGTGTGTGTATATATATATATATATATATATATATATATATATAGATGGAGGATAGCTCCGAAGGACACGTCAGCCGGACCCTAGCAGCCACGTGGAAGCTCCCTGTTTGACCCATGAGCTCGGCTCGCCCTGTGAGCTCGGCATGCCTCATGGGCTCGGCTAGAAGCGGGACAGCGACCTACGGGACGACGACCTCCGTGACAACGACCTACGTGATGGCGACCGGCGGATAGCGATTGGCCGCGTTGACTGTGCGAGAGCGATAGGATGAAAAGGACAACTCATGACAGAGATGACGTCCGCTAGGTGACGAGCCTCGATCAGAGGACTTTGACCATATGTAATGTATCTCCTATAAAAGGGGCGAGACCCCTCATTGTAACGGACCGAAGTTTAGAACGAATAAACTCCTACTTTGCATTCTCTCTCTCTAAAACTTATACTATTCTTCATTCTCGGTGGTTTATAGCCATCAAATTGGTGCTTTCATTGAGAGCTGAGGAACATACTCGTAGGTTAACTCCTCAACGCGAGAATGGTGCAAACCAGGAGCAACGTTCCCACCACCAGCCACGTCGGCGGCGAGGAGGTCGCTCCGGGCAGCGGCATCGGCACGGGTGGCATCGCTTCGACTCCGGACGCAGTCCAGGCGCTGTTCGGGTTGGGGGTGACCACGGAGCAACTCCAGGCGGCCGTTGCGGCACTTTCCGCCATGGGCGGGAACGTACCCGGCGCCGGGGTTGGCAAGGCTCCGCTCGGTCACCACACCGAGCACGCTGCCACTTCCCAGCACAAGGGAAAGAAGACGCGGAGGAGCAGGAGGAGGCCCGG